CTAACATGCTGATGTTTAGCAGGCTTGATGTTTACCATGTTCACCATCTTAGTTTAGCATGGTAACATGCTAACATTGGGTGATTAGCACTAAACATAAAGTACAGCAGAGGCTAATGGGGATGCCATTAGTTTTTGCAGGTATATAGCTACTACTATATATACTTGACAGATTGGGAGCAACCGACCGGCTATTGTCGGATCAATATAGCTTTTAATTTGCTTTTTACATTTTTTTTTATAAAGATTTGTCGAAATTCTCATTATTTCGCATACCAAGTTGCTAATTGGACTGTAGTGGAAGTTTGCACCAGAGAAAGGGGGTTTCACGTGATCAAAAAGGATTCATCGTCTGTGGATCAGAAATATCCACAGAACATTTCATGGATGTATAAATGTTTCATGTATTCAAGTTATCTTGTCATTGATCAAAGCTGTGAATCAATGTTTGCAGTAGAAGAAATGTCACAAAAGTAGAGCACACAAATAATGGGAAATCTTTCTCTGGGGACCTTGAATATGTATACCAAACTGGCCAGTAGTTTTAGGATACGTGTGGAGGAAAGTGTTGGATGGTCAGACCGTCCAACCAGCCAACACTGTCCTCCTTAGGACCTGCTGCTAACAGAACAGAGAGGATTTTGAGTAAAGGTATTCCAACAACTTGAACAAAACAACATTTGATCCCTTGGGAATGAGTTGCTTCCCCAAATGAGGGAGTTACCTCTGGATCTTGTTCAGGAGTGAGGGTAAGATGGAATCTGAGACCGACAGGTGGATCAGTGTGGTGTGGGCAGTAATGTGGGCAGCATACGGGACTATCATGGTGAAGAGAAAGCTTAGCCTGAAGGCAAAGCTCTTGGTTTACCAGTGGATCCAACCCAGTCTCCTACAAATTACATTATACACAACTCAATTGCAACAGCAAACATTTTGAGGTTTTTGAGGAGCTGTGGGACATCTAGGCAACTTTGCTAAACCTGCTGTCACTATGGATAATTGGTGGAAATGCCATAAAAGAACTATAGAAAATCTTCACACACTACCAAGTTGATTGTTATGCTCACAGTGAAGGAACAGCATTTTGCTCTTTTATCCTAACTTGTAAATAGGTGTCTAATCATAGTGTAGGCTATTTACTGTATGTCCTCGAATATGGTGGTATAAGAGCTAGACAAGTGGCATTTCATGAGGCTCTATCTCCTCTTTTTCTTCTTTCTGTATTCCATTACCTAAACATCTCGCTGACAACACAGCATAGCCAGAGATCTGTGAATTCCACAGTGATGACAGCAGCTACTGCAAAAGTACTCTACACCAACAGCCAACCCTACCATCAAATGAAAAAATCATTCTTGTTGGCTCCTGCAACCGCAGGAGGAAGAGGTATTCTTGACCATGTTTCTACATCTAGCAGAATGTGACATGTACAATTGAGCCACAGCTCAGCACTGTGGAAAACTATATTACTTTAAAACAATGACAGCAATAAAAATGTTTTTTGCCCATCATAAAACATTGTTCACTGTGCCTCAGCTAATGTCATTAATATTTATTTAGGATTTACTGTTTATTTTGAGAATAACTGCCTTTTTTGTCGTGTAAATTTGCCATAACCTTCAGTATTAAAGATCCGCCATTTTGACATGTAATAGTAGGTTAAACACGTATTAGATGTTCTTTTCCAGTGAGCCAACATACACAATAGCAGCACACTTGACCGCAGTGGAACAAACCTTAAGTTGTATCTTTGGTAACTCCTGTGTTTATTGTTCTTCTAAATTTTATTGTGTTTCTGATTTACCTTTGTGCACATATTTGCTATGGCCTTTGGGTATGGGTACATTTATGATCTCATTTGGCACTACTATTTATCTTAACATAAAGACTGAATTAAAGATCAATCAACTAATCAATCATTAAAGCGTTTGGTGTACTGTTGCACAGTGTTTTGTCAATTTATTTTGAGCTGTACTTGTTACAATGAAGATATGACCGGACCGAGCACCATGCTAGTAAATCATGTCCACATCACTCACATTACTACATGTCTGTTTAGCTTTCTGACTAAAACAATACTGAATGTTGTGATACGAGAGGAGAACTGATTGACGGGCCGGTGTCTTACAGTAAGAAGTGACATCAACAAGTGGAATCAGTTGCTGCTGGCTCCTGTCAGCCAGTCAGAGGTAGGCCGAGATGTCAGGGATGCCTAACTGCTGCATTTTATCACTTTATTGCCCTAGACAGGAGCTGACGGTGGCGGTGGGGTCAAGAGAACGTGAGAAGGGTAAAATGTGAAGGCACTTGAAGCTTCGTGTTACACTGTTGTTCATGGACACAAAGTCCTCAGATGCCTAATCAGCAGCTACCAAAATATAAAGCTATTGTCTTTCTTCTCCTCTCCTCTTTTCTTTTTTCTTCTCTTTCTTCTAAATTAATTATTTTCAAATGAGGAGGAAAGGCAGCATCCTGCTCATCTTGGGATGTTGATTGCTTATTGTGTAAAGATGAAACAGGCCTTTTGTCTGCATGATTTGTTTTGGCCTCCTTTTACATGAGCTGGAAGTGTGACCAGTTAACATAAGATAAAAGGGGAGTATGGTGGTGGTGGGGCAATGGTCTCTTTAACACCTAATTGCCACACCCATAAGGTACCATTAGCTACTCACTTTTAAATACAGTGCCACAGTAATGGTATGCATTTGAGGGAAAGACAGGCTTGAAGGAAATTTGAGCCAAAACTCTCAAACCATTTTCTTTTGCAATTTCACTTCAGGATTTGGATGTGGAATCTTTTTTTTTTTGCTTTTGCCTATCTCAAAGAATGTGAGTGATTTCTTCCCTCTCTATTAAATCATCATTAGGGGTCCTGTCTCTGTGCCCACCCACAATAGAAAGATTTTAGGGAGGGACTTTGCCTTTCAACATTTAACCAGTGAGCAGCCTGATCCCGGTGAGACAGAGGGCTTTTCAAAACCTGGAATTAACCCAAGCAGACCTGCACGGAGCCGGGGATCCCCTCACATCTCACCCCAGTGATGTTAAGACAAATAACGAGCTTTTTATGAAAATATATATTGCCTATAATGGATGTATCTGCTGCTGATGCGCTGCACGGATCTTTTGGAGAGCTTTTCACCGCTCAGTCAGCCGGATCAGGTTTTTGATAAATGTGAGGGGGAATAACTCTTGTTTCAGAGACTTTGTTGGTGTGGATGGACAGGTCAGGAGCGCATATGTGGATTTATTTCTGGGATTTATCTGCCTCAAGATTCCGCGTCTTGATCGGATGAAATAAAAAGAAGAATGTATGGAATAAACCAGCGCTGCATTTACATGTAAGGCGACCCGTCGATTGTATGATTGTGTGATATTGCTGCAAAATGGCTTCTTTATAATTCTACTTTTATTGTTGCTTCTGCAGATCATTTCATTTTTTCGTGCTGTGGTGCCAAGCTCAGGTAAGCGCTCAAAAACTGTTCATTTCCTAAAGACTTGCATTAGGGTCATACGTCCATTCTGAATTTCACATTTGAGTACAACTTTGTTTAGTAGTGATAGGGGAAATAATTCGATTTGTAGGCTTTCTGGTGGTGATAAAATCAGTTCTACATTTTTTTTTTTATCCCAGATTAGAAAGAAAAAAATTATGTATTTTATTTTTCCCTTTGCATAAAAAAGGGGGAGAATCACCCGTCTCCTAATTTTAACCAGTATGTGAGGACGCAGGGCGCAGTGACGGACCAGCTCAGCCGCAGACAGGTCAGGGTGTACCAGCTCTACAGCCGCACCAGCGGGAAACACGTCCAGATTCAGGGCAAAAGGGTCACCGCCACCGCCGAGGATGGAAATATGTACGGTAAGAACTGACCCGAGACCTGCTGATAATCTTGTAGGACATTTTGGCTTGTGTTTATATAGGGATTGTCCTATTTCACTACACTTGCTTCCTGAAGTTACAACCAAATAGGACAACAAAGGATACAGTCAGATATCTTTAAAAAAACAAAACAGGTCTGGACCAGCTCCACATTGTGCCTCTTATTTATTACCATTACACTGCAGGGACAGAGTTAAAAGTAGGCCTACTAATAAATGCTATTGAAAAAGCCAGAAGACTCAAAAAGTCCTGTAACCTGTTTTTTGGGTTGCAATAGAATTTTTAATCCAGGTAGCCGGAAAGGACACGTCCTCCTGTCCTTTTTTCAAACATATTTTCTGTGGAAATACAAAATATAGACCCATATAACTGATTATGTGACTTGTATGTAATGCTATGGAGCTAGTTTGGACTGATAATTACATTATTTCTTAAAAAGTGGATATTGGCCACACTCAACACGCAACCGTTTTACATCAATCTTTTTAAAGTTATGGCAACTTCTAATGGAATTATGTTTAACAAATGTACCACATTAAGTTATGGGAATTAACTTTTCCTCCACAATGAAAGGTGTTTTTAGTTACTACTTAGAATTGGTAGCATAAAAGTTTTTACGATTAGGCTACTTATAAAAATGTGTTCCAACTAGTTACTTATGTCAACACAACTCATCAAAATAATGTTTGGAACTTAAAATGATTATCTAAATCAATAAATTAGAAGTTTTGACAATAGGTCCACTGAATTACTTTTTAAAGTACCAGTATGACAGAGCTCACTGTAATTCAGCCTCTAACTGTCAGTGTAAACTCTGCAGTGAAACCTGTTCCTGCTGTATGTGTTTATTGTGATTTTGAGCTCTTGGTACACACATATTAGCCTGCAATTGATGACAAAACAGAGATTCTTCAGAGGAATTAAGTGAAACTATTGGATTGAACATTGGTCCCTGACATACAGCTACAAAGCCCCTGCTGGGGACGGATGTCCTCAGGCACAACCAGCAGTTTCACCTCCAGCCCGCTCGTCCCTCCCTCTGTGAGGTGTTTTCAGGCTTGTATGTTAATTCGGCCTCCCTGCTGTATCCATGAAGCCATCGTCTGGCGAATTAACAGCTGATTAGGACAAGTCCTTTGTCTCTATAGCCCCAATACGCAAGGCTGTTGTAATGCCCACTGGCCGTAATTGACTGCAGGACAAACTCAACTGAGAATGTATATTCTGCCTCCAATAAAGCTCTTTAATGTTCAGTGATAACATTTGTTTAATCACTTGGTGATTAAACAAATATCAAGGAAACTACATATGTAGCTGCTCATTTTCTGTGTGGGATATTACTCAGGAATATTGAAAATACATATTTAAAAATAAAGAGTTTTCTATCTTCAGCTCCTTGACGTTCTCCTCTCTTTTTCCGGCAGCTCGTCTTTTTGTTGAGACGGACACCTTTGGCAGTCGAGTGAGGATAAGAGGCGCAGAGAGTGGGCGCTACCTATGCATGAACCGGAAGGGGAAACTTGTTGGAAAGGTACGATATACATGTGTGATTTCTTCAATGTGGGAGCAAGGAGACTCTTGGTGGCAGATATTGAAACATACTGATTTTAGTTGGTATGGGAAAGTTCTCAATCAGTGCAGTGCCAAAATTAATTGCAAAGGAAACTGAAGTAGTATGGTGATATTAAGCAGCCAAATCCTTCTGTTGCAAGCAGAAATGGTATCAAATAGTATTTCACTAATTAATCAATTAGCTGTTTAGTCCATTAAATGTAAGAAAATGGTGAAAACTGTTGATCCAAGGCCCAAGCTGACATCCTCAAATGTTTTGGTTTGTTCATTCAGTTTACTAGAGGACTAAAGAAACCAGAACATATTTACATTTGAGAATCTGAAATCAGAGAATTTGGACATTTTGACAAAAAAATTATTTAAAAAAACAAAACATACAAAATTTAATTTCACAAGGTGGTTATTATTTTAAAATTTCACTTGGTGATATTTGCTGAACATACAAGTAAAATATATTCTGGGGAGTACAAATTGTTACAAGTTAATTTAATATGTTGGGTAGATGTTTATCACAGTATCAGCTCTATGAGTGGGCAAAAAGCTCTATTGAAATAAAAAACATAAAAACATCTAAATCCATTCTGGTCTCCGTCAGAGGGCTCACAATCTGTGCCAGACCTTACTTTATCCAGTAAAACACACACTAGCTCCAACACTACAGCTTCAGCCCATTGTCACTGTAGTCTCATAACTTGTCAGTCACCCCAGGACATGATGTGCTGGAAAAAAGCAATCCTCAGTGCCAGAGGGCTGAGTGATAGTCGCTCAGTCTTATTGGCCGTGGCTGACAGCAACGAGGGGGAAGCACCCTCCCATAATGCACCGCCTGTGTGTTTGTGTCATATGTCAACCTTCCACTTCCTTCGTGGAAATGGAAAAGATGGATTCACATATCTGGCTTACATGACGAGTCATAAATCTATTTCTCATCATGGTTGAGAGGTGCAGGAGCTGTGGCTGCTGTAGTGTCTGTTTATAGATAACAAGTCCACTCGGAGAAAGACTCATGCTGCTCTCTCTTGTGATGTGTCCTAAGCTTTTGGACTCATATTTTCATTGCTTATCAGAATTCAACTCAAGAAATGGCTATTCTTAGTTCTTGGAAATATGCTTATTTGCTTTCTTGGTGAGAGTTAGATGAGATGCCACTCTCACGTCTGTATGGTAGCCTTAATAAGATACCAACTGCAGCTAGTTAGCTTAGCTTAGCATAAGGACTGGAAAAGAGGGAAAATGTTCAAATATAACTAACTATGTTATTTATTTCTAAAAGACAACTACACATTGTGGTTTTATTGGAAAATCATAAGCCTAACTGTTCCTGTTCAACAACGAGATAACATATTTAAAAGCTTTAGAGGTGCTGGTAGGCACATTTTTTCACTTGTGGAAAGAGGCAGGTTACTAAGCTAGTCAATCTAACTCTGGGCAACAACGCAAATAAGTCCTAGATCTTCAACATGGTGCTCAGAGTTACTGCAGGGGGGTCGCCAAATCATTGTGTAATAATATTTAAAAAATTTTAATAAATGTTTTTTTTTTTAATGTGTGAATACACATTAACATGAATCCAACATGTTTATTATCACATGTAAATCCCACATGTATGTTCAAAATTGAAACATGAATATATAAGTATTGTTTTAATACTTAGCTTATTATTTAATACCTGTCACTATAACTGTAGGCTCAGTTTAGTATGCAACACAATTTTATACAATATAAGTAGTTAAGGGTCCCTGCTCTTTGTGTTGCACAAGTTTCATAGTTTTCAAGGTTTCATTGCTTTAAGAAGGCTTTGATATAAGAAAAAAACCTATTAGCTTATTATCATTATTGTATCATAAAGTATTACTTACATATAGGTGTGTCATTTTTAATTCTGTGTTTTCTGTGTTTTTTGTATGCCGTTAAATCTTTTTTTTTACCTTCCTGTTTTAACCTCCTATTTGAATAAAAGACCTTATAGGCAATTGCAAATTAGCAACCGCTATAAACACTATGATACTTGCATGGGATAGCTGTCTTCAGTCTGTCCATGTTTACTGTATCTGTCCCTACTGAATAAACCATAAATAAATAAATAATAAAGCTGGTATTGCAGTAGATTTTGTGGTGTCTGTGCTGTGTCTGTCAAGCTTTAACAGAAGGAACCTTTTCTGTCTCTTCACGCAGCCCAACGGCCGGAGCAGGGATTGTATCTTCACAGAGATAGTTCTGGAGAACAATTACACAGCCTTCCAGAATGCCAAATATGAGGGCTGGTATGTGGCTTTCACCAGGAAAGGGAGGCCCATCAAAGCCTCCAGGACGAGGGAGAACCAGAGAGAGGTCCATTTCATCAAGAGGCTACATACGGGCCCGCCTCCCTTCCCCAACACGGACCAAAGCAAACACTTTGAGTTCATCCGATTTCCGGCCACACGTCGAGCGAAGCGGAACAGGAAACCACATACCTCTTCCTAACATGCAGCAAAAGCAATGGACTGATGACAGTTGTTACATAGGAAGAAACAGATGCGATTTTATTTTTGTATATTTTGATAGGTAAAAGATGGTTGAAAGGCCATAAATCTAAAGTAATATTGCTGTAAAATGATCATGTGTAAATACTGAAAGAGAGTAAAGAAGATGGATTATATTTAATCGTCCTGTGTGTATGTGTTGACTGGTGGGGAGCTGCGAGGGATGAAGGAACATTATGACTACATACTGCAAATACATTTCCAATATTAAAACACTGCCCAAAGCATTTGACATGCTGCATGAACAGTAGCCAAAGTACACCGAAAACATAGTTGAGAAGCAAATTCAAATCGACTATATAATTACTATCAGCTTATTATTATGTCCCATGCTATACTAGTTTGCCATTAAATATTCAGCCACTATTTTTTAATAATGCTAAACCCTCATGGAAAAAACTGGGTTTTTGAATGGCCTTTTAGTTAGATGCCTGAAATAAGGTCTATGATATAAAATACATTAGTAAATATTCCATCTGAATTTTTTAACTTTTAGGTGTCTTAAAAAAGACGGTTACTAACAAGTACTCACCAACTGTTATTCTATTAAGTTGGAAGTTTAGTGGCGGCAATGATGAAGTCCTACGACCATGGTGTTGTTGGCCTAGTGTTAGCTTTTGACATCTAGCGATTGCCTTTACGTTTCAAAAATCATAATAGTGATGTTTATTTGTTGTTGATTATCTTGCTGAATAAAACATGTAAGTATCATACATAAATATCAACACTCCAAAATCCAATGGAAAAATCCCATTAGCTTTTTGTTGAAGGAACCAGGACAATGCTAACTTACAAAAATATAGCCTACAAAAATATGTCACCCCTGCAGCACTCTATAGCAGTTGCAATGCTTGCATTGCAACTGAATTAGGTGATTCAGCTGCAGCTAATACTGAAGAAATAACTGAAGTCTGTCAGTCGGCACTCTAATATGTGAGTTTTCAAAGCAACATAGAACAACTGAAGGAGCTCCAAAAATCATAAATAAACTGCGAGGCAGTCAGAAGATAATGAACTGTTGTCAGAATATAAATACAACTGCTAACAAATGAATAAATTAGAGTGGCACAGCCAATGCCAACGGCTGTAACGATGCTGTATGTGCTGCTTGCCAACAGATCCTCACAGCCAGGACCAGCAAATATTAGAATAGAAAAAACAGATAAAGGCAATTTGCTCAGGACCAACCTGAAGGTGAAATATAGGAAGGATGGATTGAACAGCATTAGGGGAGAACGTAGGTGAGCAGAAGTTGTACATCAACAACCTGCACAGCAATTGTGGAGTAAACACTGATGCTCATGTCACACATCAGATTGTATTCGATTTATGTGTTGCCAGGACTGACACAATGTTATGACAGATCAAAATGCTATTTGGAGTTCAGGCAAACAATGTCGCTCTTTTAATGAACTTGGCAAAGAAGGAAGGCACGAGCCTCAGACTGAATTAACATTGACTGTAGGAAATGTGGCTGTGTTAATGTAAAAGTAATGAGATCTTTTTTTGCCACGATGATAGAAAAACATCTGAAAACAGGTTGGGGAGAAACACTTTGTGTTCCATGTGGCGTACAAAGTATTAAATGCCACAGATTCAGTGAGAAATATTAACATTTTGTTTTGCTAAATTGCTTTTGATGGACTCCACTGCACTACATTTTTTTAAAAGCATTATAACAAATAAAAAAGTAAATAGAGAATAAAAAAAGACTATTTATTTCCCCAATAAAATAGTCACATATATTTTCATAACAAATAATACCCTTATTTAAGTCTAAAGTAGTGAGTAACATATAGTAGCATTCAAATTTTCCACCAAAAAGTTATCTCCTCACATTATAAGATAGGATTCAGTGGATAGATTTCTTTGTCGAATTTAGAATTGAAGCTCCCTGACCTTATTAGGATCACTTAACATATATCTTTTCCTTCTTCCAAATCTGAGTTTCAATAGAATTTATGTCTGGGAAGAATTTATCTCACATTTTGACATGAAACAGCAGGGTAAACACAGGTGTTACCAATGATACTAATTAAGGTTCCATTCCATTTAGTGTAGCAGAGCCTTTACAGTGAGCCAACATGCACAATAGCAGCACCCTGTCTCTGTTTGACCCCAATGGAACCTAATTGAGACCCCAATGGAACCTAATTAGTATTATTGGTAACACCTGTGTACACTACTATTTCATGTGAAAATGGCTGCTGAGGCCTGTTCATTTTTTGTTTATGTCATTTATTATTGAGTCTATATTAAGAAATTCTCTTCTCATCTAAACCCTTCTGTGAGGTCAAAGGTCAGGGCTGACTACAGGGCAGCATCCCCTCACAGTCAGTGCGCATACTTGATGACTAAGCAGCACTTTCAACTCAGGATGACCTTGTGCTGCTGCCTTCTTCCTCAGGGCGAAATCCTGTAAACAGAAACTGTATTTGTAGGTTCATTTGAAACCCTGTAGTAGCCTGTGGCGCCCTCCAGCGGCAGATAGCACTAATTGAATTTGGATCAGGTGGAAAGTCAGCTGATTCCACCACAAACAGGAAGGGGAAGTCACAGTTCAACAAAGTAGTCATGTAAAAGCAGCTAACTCATTTGTATATTTGTTTAATTTAATAAAAGAAGGCTTCAGACTCAAAAGATGTTCGGGGGAGACGATGAGGACGGGGACTTCTTGTCTCCTTCCGGAGGGTGAGTTTGTTTATTGCCAACAAGCTAATGCTCTTAGCCTGAGAGCTAACTAGCTAACCAGGATTGAGCCGGGGCTAAGCTAGCTGTTGCCCTGTGTGGGCCAAAACTCACTTAACATTCAGTGTATGGCGACCTTATTTGTACGTAATGTCTTTTAGAAAATAACGTTGTAACGTTTCTCGCAATGGAGCGCATATTTCAGTAAATCTTGTTATTCATAATTGTTCTAACGCCAAGATATAAATATCAAGGGAAGCACTGGAACCACTTCATAAAGAAGAGATTTTATAGAAATGAAGTTCTCTCACAAGAACATAACTGTTACATGTGCTGAGTTATAAAAAATATATATTTGTATAGTCCTGCATGTGTGATAGCCAACCCTCAGTGCACTGCTGGACGATGGATGACACTTTCTATCTGCAAATGAGAGAGCGCAGCATTCCACGTTTCAATGTCATGCCTGTCTCACCGTGTAAAGGTTAGCAGCTACAAAGTGTTTCCATCCTACGGACAATAACAACAGCTGGAACAAACTAATAAGTGGTGAGTTCATGGAGCATTATAGCAAGTTAGGACAGAATTCCACTGATTTCATATCGGCTGCATCTCTGCTGAGGTCTCCCTGCTGATCTGAGTTATCACATGATCTCATATTCCCACTCACTCTATCTGTCTGTTAAACCAAACTCCTATTACAGTATTCAGCTATAGTCACACTGTAGAATAAAAAAATAAAAACAGTTCATTTGCTTTATATCAAGGTAAACACATACACCATGAAGTAGTTGCTTATAGCATGGAGATTGGTAGAATTCTGCCTCTTTTTCTTCTTCTTGGCTCTACAACTACTAGGTGATTAACTAAGAGTTTTCCCTCAATAACTTCTTAATTACTGCTTATTAATGCTACGTAAGGAAGTTGTTGTACACAAATTATAATCTTACGGTAATGTGCTTTGTTCAGTATGGGCCTTATAAGGTAGTAGTGCCATAAGAATAGGCATTCTACCTTAATGGCACTGCATAAATGTGGTCTATTCTCATGTAACAAAACACTAAACAAAAAAAAGTAGGCCATCTCCACATAACTCCAACTCAGCGTATGTTCCCCATTCTAAAGTGAGCTCTTAACTTGCTCTAAAAGTATTCTTTGCTCAGAATGGAACAAAGTCAAAAGATTTTTTTTATAGACATGTATTTATTGAATTTTAACAATTTACAAAAATACATGTTGATACATTTAACAAAGCATATAACAGTCAAACTATAAAAGAATCCACCCCCCCCCACCCCAAAGGAAAAATAAAAGATTTTTAATTATTGTTTTCAACTTGAATTGAAATATATTTTCAGTTTTTTAAATTATCACTGTTTGAAAAGAAGGTGTTGCTTAGTTATGAGCAAAGGTTTACACTTTTAACACAAGTAGTTTTGTTACATGAGAATAGACCGTATTTATTAAGGCCATTAAGGTAGAATAACTTTTCTTATGGTACTACTACCTTATACTGAACAAAGCATATTAAGATCATAACTCCTGTTCAACAACTTTCTTGCTTACCCTTTATAAGCAGCAATTAGGAAGTTATGGAGGGAAAACTCTTAGTTAATGTCCTAGTAGTTGTAGAATATGGTAGAATAATGAGCAACTACTTAATGGTGATTATGTGTTTACAGTGTCATATAAAGTGTAACCAAATGAGGTTTTTATAAGTTACATATGTATTATGTTTATGTATGTTTATTGAAAGCCTCTGAAAATGGAGGTTGCTGTGATGTTGACAAACAGATTCGATGTTCCAGGGATCCAAACTGTGACCCTTTTGTTATGAGACAGACTCAGTTACTATTAATATATTTCGTCCCTCAATTATGAGGCATTCAGTTACAGCTCTGCCGCATTTTCAGACTGACAACAGTGTTGTGCTTTCTGGCACTGTGTGACCATTGTGTGGCAGCAGCAGCAGCAGTGTGCATGAGCGGCTGGAATAAGCAGCTAGTGTAGGGCCTGCTCCAGAGGGAGGAGTGTTATGGCGGCTAATTCCTCTCACATGCTGCCTGTTAGAGGAGTAAAGTGAAGGCTTCTGCCACAGCCCATCTCTGCCCAGTGGATACCCAGCCAGCATTAAGTCGGAGCTCCTCAGCTTCTCCCTCTGCTATGCTGTTGAATGTGCCACTGTGGTGTGACTGCACCGGGGACCGAGAGATCAGGGGTGTCCCGGGACAGAAGAGTTGGAACGTACACTAGAAGGATTTTGACTCACACATGCAAACAGATTGCCCCTCCTCATCCCAGTTCCTTACCGTCGGGGATGAGGGCCTAAAGGCTTTCAACATGTCCGTTCTGGGAGACACCAGTGATTACCAGTGGAAGGAGTTCCAGGGGTCAGTACAGTTAGCTGGGCAGTTTTTCAAGGGTTGAAACCACAGAAATGTTGGTTTAGCCTTGCAGGTTTGATCCCGTGTGTTGAAAATAATGAAATCGGTGGAGTATGTACTGATGTAGTAATGGTTTTCCACCATTTGTAGTGTGTGAACAATTTTTCTAACAATTTTGATGTTTGATTAATTGTTTAAGTCATTTGTCAAGCAAAGATTTCACGTTTGCTGGTTCCAGTTCCTCAAATGTAAGGACCTTCTGCTTCTGCCAGTTGTATTTCAATGCAAATTACATAAATATTTAGAATGAAAGCTTAGTCCTGACCTGGGAATCATTAGTTTTGGGGGGAAAATCTTTTTTGGGAGTTTCACACACCGCCTCTCATGGTTTTCTTCAGCGGATTGTTGTCAGTTGTCATGGAGGGTGTCCATGACGCTGAGGAAGACAATGAGATGAGGTAGAAAGCTCCAGATAAAGAAAATTGTCTTCAGATATCAGAGAGTAAGAGTAAAAAAAAAGTTATCTTTTTTAATGCAACCAGAACAGTGGGATCTGCATTTGTATTTATGTTACAGTCCCTGTTACAACCAACATCATAGCCTTCAGTTTATATTTACCACACTGCTATCTAGCTGTTGGGGATTTCAATTAGGGATCGACCGATATACAAATTATTACTAATGAAGGAAACTGATAACCAATATTTGCAACCGATGTACATTTGCAGTGAAAATGAAAATCTTTGTGTCAAAATGTATAAGAAAGTTGTGAAGTATAACTAAGTACATTTACTCAAGTGCCTTACTTAAGTACAATTTTAAGGCACTTGTACTTTACTTGAGTATTTCTATTTCAATGGCACAGCATCCTTCACTGCTGATTGGCTACACATCACATATGATAGCCTATTATCAATGGCTGTGGGTGGGACATTGAGCTAGACTACAGAATTGTGAGTACGTCAGAGCCAAAGTAGCACATTTTGAAAAACATTTATTTTATCAGTAATCGCAAAAAATGCTGAATGCAGTATCCGATAATCAGCTAGTCCGATAATCAGTCAATTTGAACATATTGCATTGGGCTCTGGAAAACTGTGAAAGCCTTTTAAAAATCCTTTCTTCACATCTAATAGACCATATGATTCATTTGTTAATCAAAAAGATCGATAATCGATAATGAACTGTTGGATGTTGTTTGGACATGTTTTAGCTAGTCTGTGCAGCATAATGTAGCCCATTGTGTAGTTGACTTCCTTCAACCTTGGTGTGGATTAAAGTGGTGTTAGGAGCGGTTGAAGTGTGGCAGCAGCTACAGCGACTCGCTTGTATGAGCAGTTTTACCCCTGTTAGTAGGAACTAACCAGACCGCACAGTCAGTGCTGCGCCAGGGCCGGGATATTTTTATTCTTTATTCTAGTGTATCAAACATTTCTTGGCAAATATAACCATATCTATATGATCTTTACACTTTACACTTCTCCTTTCAGGGCCAAGTTAGCCTCCCTGTTTGGATTAGACCAGGAAACCAGTCAGGGGAACGAGTCGTTCCAGTACACGGCACCCAAACAGCCCAGAAAGAGCTCCAATTCAGGTGAGACCATCAGCATGGAGAACACCGGTGACTTCAGATTCAGCCATGACATGAAGGCTGAACTTAATATGTCTTTTGTCTGTTTACAGCAGCAGCCGCCCAGAAACCAGCTCCACCATCGGGAGCTCCTGCAGTGTTACTCGCCACAGCAGTCCAGGCCTTCAGATAGTGAGGAGGAGTCTGTTTTTATTATTTTCAAACCACTTTAATTTTGCTTTTTGTTGAATTTTTGAGCTTTCTTCATGTATTTTCTTAATGTAAAACATCTGTGGGCTACAGTTGTTCACCCCCCACAAGAGACAGAATTTGCAAAACTTAAAATCAAAATTCCATAACAAATAAATCAAGTCACGACTCCCTAAGTCACCTTATAGCAAGTAAAGTGCAAATCCTTTCTGCCATTTTTTGTCCCATGTGCAGTATTAACGGACAGTATGTGAAGCAGGGCAAGCTGGGAGCAGCCGTACTGGGCAACCACACGACTAAAGAGGTTGGAGCTTTGCTAATTGGTCACTTGTTTGAGATTACTGGTGTGACTTTTGATTTTTTATGAATAATGCACCTCTTCTTTTCTGTAGTACAAGCTGCTTCTGTACTTGAGCCAACAGAAACAAGTTGCCGCTGCCAAGATTCATGTGGGCTTTGTTTTCACGGTGAGTAGAGACATAAAGGATGTTGGACCAACAGATATTCTAATGAATTAAGTGAAGGAATATCACACTTCTGCATATGGATGGGAGGTGACAATGTATGGAAGCACGTTTGGATCATTAAATGTGAAGCTCTTTTGAAATATTTGATTATAATGAAACATTTCCAAAGTTAGGCAGCACAATCTAGACTCCATATTAGTCTGTCTCTGGCTAGATTAATAATTGTAAACAAAAAACGGGAACAATATATCAAAGTTCATGATACTACAGATTCCAGCAGAGCGTGTGGACAAATGAGCAGATTGCTGATGAAAAATTATGTTCGTCATCTTGTCTTTTCTCTGTTCCTGACCACATGTTCTGCCACAGGTACAGCCAAACAACTACTGCACTTTTTATGACGACCAGAGGCAGAACTGGTCCCTGATGTTTGAATCAGAGAAAGCTTCATTGGACTTCTGCAAAGAGGTTAGGAGGAGACCTACCCCTTTATCCTTCTGACCTACATCAGAGCCAAGTTTCACCGAATTACACGGGTTATGTTGTTTATCAGATGACGACGTCTTTTCTCTTGTTTCCATTAGGTATGTTTGGCCAAAGCGAACAGTGCGTCCTCCTTAGATGCCGTGGTGATTCAGGATCTGAGTCTTGGCGAGGGCCAGGCAGTGGAGAACGGAGACTCTCTGGAAGTGGTGTACACAGGCTGGCTCCTGCAGAACTACGCCATCGGACAGGTCACATGCTTCCACCATCATTTGATCGATTGTACCATTTTGTCACCAGTTCCTGTTGGAACGGCTTATTGAATGTTAAATATCATTTCAGATGTTTGACTCCAACCAGAACAAGGACAAGTTGTTACGACTGAAAGTTGGAACTGGAAAAGTGATCAAAGTGAGTCAAAACATACTGTACTAAATAAGAAAGCAGCCTAACATCAATTCCACAAAAATACAATTACTGTAATTTTTGAAGATATTCTTAATGACTCATTTATTTTCTTACGTTTTCTTCCATTATTACATTATTATTATTATTTATTATTATTATAATATTAAGTTATTTTTATCTAGTGGTATCCTTTTGGTTTTGGTTGGATTAAAGGTTATATATATATAAAATTCAAATGCAGCTAGATGTCAGACCAAAACAATAAGCATTACGGCCGACTAGACTCCATTGACCAAACCAGTTATTTCACCTAGCTGATAATTGTAAAACACACTTTAGACTGGACAGGAACAAAATAAAACTCACCAAAACTGTCGTTGTTAGTCTTGCATGGTCTTTCCAACAATCAATAACTCTGGTATGGTCTATATAAACCTCACTCAGATTGCTCACTCAGATGTCAATGAAAGCTCCTGGAAAATGTCCCGAAATGGTCGAGGAAAATTGATATCTCAAAAGCGTTTTAAATGAAATCATCCTCATATTATTATGTTATGACCTCATTATTCCTCTTCCTGTTGCTCCTCTGTGTGACCAGGGCTGGGAGGAAGGGATGCTAGGAATGAAGAAGGCAGGTCGTCGTCTTATTGTCATTCCACCCAACCTAGCTTATGGAGCCAAAGGAGTCCCCAACCGTATCCCTTCTAACAGCACCCTTATTTTTGAAGCAGAGCTTCGACGGGTAACTCCCACTGAACAGTTCTTTCTATCTGCTCTTTGACCTTTCATAACATACCTGACCATACTAATGTTACATGAATACTTAATGTATGCCTGTGTTGCTGCCACTTCTGACATGACCTCTTTACTCCTAGTTGCTTGTGGTTTGTGCTTTAGGTGAAGTTTTCCAAGGACAGTGGGTCTGATCGGGCCAGTGCTAGCTCCAGAGACTCTGCTGCTCCCTCCCCTGCTCCTTCCCCAGCACCCAGTGTGGAAAATCTGGCCCCAGAGCCCCCAGTACAGACAAGTGCCTCAGGTCCAGGCATAGCAGGGTGAGATTTAAACCCCAGGAAATTGTTAACAGCATTATCCTTTAATTTTTTGTCACTTGACTTGAAGTTGACTCATTTGTCTCTGATGTCTTCTTTGTTTTTCCAGGGAGCCACCACTTCGTGCAAAGTCAAACTCGCTCAGTGAGCAGCTGGCAGTAAGCAACCTCGCTGCTTTCTTTCTTATGTCTTTGATACTAATAGTATTCAGTTATTTTGCAGCTTTATTGATGGGAGCTTTCTCTTTCTACCTTCAGAATCCAGACGCCACAAAAGCCAAGCTGATCTCTCGCATGGCAAAGATGGGCCAGCCCATGTTGCCCTTTCTGACAGGAGTGGCCAGCCAGCCCGAATCCAGTGACTCTGAGCTTGAGGTGGGTTGGCAGAACTCTGGGAAGGAAGTTTTTCTTTAGATGTTGAAGAATAGGTCCATATTTTTCCTATTGTCAACAAAAACAAACAATGAAGGTATCTATTAGCAAGTATTGTGTGTATATCAAAGCCTGATATATCTTCTTCTGCTGTGCCATAGAGCTCCATTGTTGTCCAGAAACTATTAAAAACTCATCAATGAGACTCACTCTGGCTGACATGTTCCTTCACATCCATAAACACACACACACACACACACACACTGTAGTTTATTTAGCTCAGTTAAGCAATCTGTGCTTGGGCTTGCAGACCTTAGCACAAGCGTCCTCTGACACATAACAGGATGCTTGTGTTACAACCTTGGTGTTATGAGTTGGAAAGATGTGGAAATTTACCAGACAGGGAGGGTCTAAGGAAAGAAAAGAAAAAGTAGCATTATGGGAACTGTAGGATCCAGTGTTTTTGGAGCTTGACCCAAACTTAAGCAGCTTAAAGTCCTCTCAGCCTCTGCTGCACTGTTTTTTTTTAACAATTCTTTTTTGAGTCTGTCTCTTGCAAATTCTTCAACATAATTGAAATGCAATACAAAATTGCTGGAGTGCCCTCTGTCACATCTGATGTCATTGAGTTTCTGCCACTATGTGTTTATCTCCAGGACACCAGTGGCAGCAGAGTGAAGGATCGGCCCGCAGCTCCATCTCCTGTGCAGATATCCACTGCTGCTCCAGCTTCTGCACACGGTAAGCTTCTTCTGCCTGTTCATGCATGCATTATTAACTGCAGCACAAGATTACAATCAGAATCAGAAATACTTTAATAATCCCAGAGGGAAATTATTTTCGCAACATATATTAAGATCAATATATACAATTAATATATATATATAAGTTATATATATATAATATAGTATATATATAATAAATCTAGTAATAATAGAAATATATATACATAAAAGATAAAAATGTACGAGTTTAATATATGTGCTAAAATAATGGTCAGCGTTTGAGGTCAGATTACAGAGAGAGGGGTGTCTGACTCTCTTGAGGGAGGCCGTTGTAGAGTTTGATGACCACAGGCAGGAATGATTTCCTGTGGCGCTCTGTTGGTGGCATCTGGGTGATGAGGAGTTTCTGCTGAAGGTGCTCTCCTCTGCTGGGCCAGTGTGTCGTAGAGAGGGTGTGGCAACATTGTCCATAGATAGTACTACAGCCCAGAACAGCATCCTCCTCTCTGCCCAACGGTCATTCAGGGTGTCCGCGTCCTCCCCCACAACAATCACCGGCCGCTCCTGATCAGTTTGTGTAAGTCTGTTGTTGTCTGGCCGACCTTCAGCCCCTGCCCCAGCAACTGTGACAGCGGAAGAAAGATCGTACTTGGCAACAACAGACTTCATAAAACCATCCTCAGCAATCGTCCGGCAGATGTTAAAGGACCTCAGCCTCCTCCGGAAAAAGAGTCGGCTTTGGCCCTTCTTGTAGACCGCCTCGAGAACAAAGAACATTTCTTATGACAGTGTACAGTATGTTTTACAATTGACCCTTCCTAAGTACTGCCCCTTTTTAACTAACTACCAAGCTAATTTACATCAGTCATTAGTTAGCTAGTGTTGTTGTAGCTATATGTATGATGCTTTGAATTTATAAACGAAAGTTGACAGAGGCTTGCTCAACTGTTACTGGAGTACAAATCAAAGGAAGGTTCATTCTGTTGTATTTCCTGCAGTACATCCTCATCCTCACACCGCTCCACCATCTGCCTTAGTTCCTGTTATGACCAGTGTTGCACCACAGCCTGGGCTGCCAGGCAGCAGCCACGCCTTTCAGGTGAGATTTCACCACATTTTGTACTAACTTATCAGCAGTAAGTACATAATAGACACATCTGGTGATATCTCTTCATATCATTGCATTATGTTGTTTCATAGCCTTACTCGTACACACAGACCTCTGCAGCTCCATCTCAGCTGCAGCCTGTTGGCCAGGTCTACCCTGCACAAACTGTCCCATACATGGGTGAGAGCATTTTTATTCCATATCAAGGAAACCATTATTGTCAAACCATTATTACCTGGAGTTGTACAGAGTGACTTTAGACTGTATTTTACCATTTCATGATGTAGTTCTGCAGCAGCAGCTTCTGTAGTTAATAATACTACTTAGCTACAAGATAGTTTTGTATTTGATTTTTGAACTGTTACAAATCATGCACCCAGTGATTGTTGTGATTGTGGTCCAGGCTCCAGTGATGTGACTTCCTTCTTGATGACTGAGGCCCGACAACACAACACAGAGATCCGGTTATCTGTTGGAAAAGTAGCAGATAAAGTGGATCAGCTGGCCTCAAAGGTATAAACTCAATGTGCAAGAATATGTTCATTAAATGGCTTTAACAGTAAGGAGATACATGTAGTTATTTTTTTACTTTAACAGATAGATGACCTTCAAAGGCAGGGAAGTCTTTCCATGGGTGTGTCTAGTATGTCGATGGAAACCTCCATGATAATGCACAACATCCAAAGAATTGTCCAGGTACACATCTAAGTAGTATGGTGCCTCTGTTTTTTTTCCTCAGCTCTTTTTGTAATGCAAATATTGACCGATTTATTGGGATCAAACTGAAAACTGTGTTCTGAAAACTCTCTTTTTGTTTTTTAGGAAAATGAATGTCTAAAAAAGGAAGTCTTTGATAAAAGCTCTCGCATCGAGGAGCAAAACCATAAGATTGGGGAGCTCATCAACCAGAACCAGAGGTGAGTCAGAAAATTTCAAAAAATTCACCCAAGCGGTCATAGTATTATGGCTGATCGGTGTGTATATATATCCTGTGATATAGAAAAAGTTGCCTATGTTTTGTTTTTGTATTTTATCTACAGTATGTGTTTTTCTTTTAAACAGTTACAATTGTCATTACACAAATCTTTGTAGTTATATCCTGCTGCAGTGTGAAACTGAAATCAGTGGTTTAAGAAAAACAATGTAACTGTGTCTTTATATACTTGAAGATGATCGTAAAACCATACTATATACTAGGGGATATATAGTATATATGAGAAGATCACCACTGCAAGAACAAGAACACACACCACTGCACATGTAGCTTAAAGAAAGAATCAGGGAGGTTTTCAGTTTAGATGTGCTTGAGGTGGATGTAATGCTGTCATGCTGTGGTTGTCTAGGTACATGGAGCAGAGTAACCTGCTGCTGGAAAAGAGGAACGACTCCCTCAAGTCATCCAGTGAGCAGAACCAGGCCAGACTACTGCAGGCTGAGCAGGACAAGGTCAGGATGTGAGGGGGACAGCTGGGACTGTATGTTGATTGTGCATTCACACTGTTGCAAGCATGATATTACTCAATTGCAATGCAATTCAGAAGAAAATAGTCAAAAGACCTGGGAATAAACAATCAACTATCTTTCTCGGCTCTGATTGGTTGTCTTTGTTCAGGCCATCAGGAGCACTAGGAGGAGCTAGAGAAACCTGAGAGAAACCAATTTTCACAGATCTGTCTCATGTACTACTGACAGCATATAGCGAAGGTTGCAGCAAATATGACAAAAAGTTATTTTTATAAAAGTTACCTGCTACAACCTTTAAGGCCAATTTTAGTTTATTACAGGTTTATCCATATTTATGCATATGTGAGATGATAAGAGACAATAAATGTCAAAGATATGTTTCAGTTACTGTAAATAGTAATGCAGTTTGTTCACCAGAGAGGATTGACATCTGCGCCATCCCAAGCTACCCCCAACACAATCACTGCCCCAGTAGTTTCAGCTGGGAGATGAATGGCGAGTTGTCCATGTGCAACATGCTCTCATAGCTTTAATAAACAAAATAAGCTCACAAAATGTCAAGAAAGGAAAAGAAAATATATAAAGACACCTTCTGGATTCAAGTTTCTCTCTTTTACCAAACTAATAATTGCCTCGTTAACTCACCTTAAAGCACACTTCATTCAAACTCAACAAAAACAAAACTTGTCAAACCTATATATTAGTCTTTCCACTGTTCCCACAGTCACCAGTTACACTCTGGTGGCTAACCGTCTAACTGCGTAAGATGTGACAATAATCTGGCTCTACACGCTGTCGCTGCCTCTCTGATGCTGGACCTTCCCGTCACTCCTCTACTGGCCTTTATCTCTCCTGTCCCAGCCTGTCTCTGCCGTGTCATCATCTTCGCCGGAGTAACAGTCCTGGTTGGAGCCTCTGTGAATCACCTTGTTACTTTATTCCCTGTTATCAAACTAGTTAAAATAAACCCTTAAGTCAGTGTATCTCAGTGTGAGTACTTTCTTTGGAGGCGGACCATTAAATTAAAAAAAACACAAAAAACCCCCACAATTATTATATTCTTCCAATTGCCCATCCCTAATTGGTATCAGCCTAAAAAACCATACAATCTCAGGCAGGCTAAGCACCAAGGAAGGTGTGGTCTTCACACTTAAAGACTGAGTGGCTTTATTTTACATATATTTTGTTGACTTCAGAGTGAACTAAATGAAATCTAGTGTGAGTATGCAGCTGTCTCTTCTTACCATGTTGTTGTAACCATTTTGATAATCTGTTTTCTCTTGTAAAGGAAACTACATTTATTTACTATAACACTATTTTTTTTACAGCAGAGGGACGATTGAACACTGACACTTTGTTCTGTATTACATTTTGAATAATAACTTATTACACTGTCAGTGGAGATTGGGTTGATATTTATTTAACCCTGTACTGTCTGTTTCCTGTTACAAACCTGATGCTAATGATAAGTGCTCACTCTTTGCCGACTGCTCTCTGCCTGCTGATTTGCACTGCTGTGCTGCTCTGAGGAAAATCTAGCATTTACCACTCTCTCTATTCTCAGCATGCACTGCCTCAGGACCTGGGCTCCGGCCAGGTGAGCCTGTTTTCTCTGTGTACTGCTACCAGACTGGGGTCAAATAGTATCTGCAACATAGGAAAATAATGTACAAAGTGAAATTGTTGAAGTGCTCCAAAAATGTATTTTTTTGAATCAGCAATCAAAGTTAAGACAAGCTCAGTTAATTAGGCTAGAAATTAAAATTCAGGAAGGAAAACCTGCTGTTTATGGCTTAAATAACTTTGCAGTGATATTCATTTAGTGGGAGCACAACAGATCAAGTCCCTGAGACAGTCCCTGTAAATGATCAAGTTACAGGAGAGTAGTAAGTTTAGACAACCTCTATGATGCAGTTCTTGGAACTAGTCAGCTGATCTGATTCCGACTTCCAGAAATGCTGCAAAAAGTGTGAGGAATCATGTGGAACTACTGTTTGACCCAGATCTGACCACTGCCACTGGATCCATCCTGTTTATATCATACTTCATTAACATTTTTAACTAACTTTTCTTTCTTCTTTTTCCCTTCCATCTCCTTTTCCTATCAGTTATCACTCACCATTTTTCTCCCACAGGGCCACGCTGCTCACACCACTAGCACCAGTAGGCACTCATCCAGGCTGTCACTGTTAATCCACTGTCTCAGTGTGGCCTGCGTCTGACCTTACTATAGACAGCCACTGGTGCATCCCCTCCTCTCACCCTCCCTCTGTCCGCCCTGCGTCTCCATCAGGTCCGTCTGACGGAGGATCTGGCCTCGTCCACAGCCCGGCTGTCTCAGCTGCAGCTAGAAGCTTCGGCTCAACAACAGAAGGCCACAGAGCTGCAGACTAAACTGAGCTCAGCACTGCAGGACAGTGAGAGCCACAGCCAACGCATCGCAGCCCTGGATATACAGCTGGAAGGTGTGTGTTGAACAAAATTGAACATTTTGTGAAGCATTTCATTTCAAATAGCTCTGTTGCCAGATTATTAGGTACACCTAGTTAAACCGTTGCAGTTGTATTTAGTTTAACTGCCTTCATGAAGGTTATAATGTTCAGTTTGTCTTGAAACTGTTATAATATAATATAAATTATTAAAATTATTCTATATAAATATGGAATAATTTTGGAGGCTTTAGATTGTGTCACATTCTAGTATTATTATGTCATTGATATGTGGAGAGGATTTATATTTGCAAGAAATCTCAGGACATGTTAGCCTAGCCCATGTTAACTTTAAGAAATATTGTGTGTTTGTGTTTCAGAGCTGAAGGAGGCAGCAGAGAGGGCCCAGGCTCAGTACCGCTCAGAGAAACAAAGACGCAAAGAGATGGAGCTGAAAGTCAACAACATGGAGGAGGAACTGCAGGACCTGAAGACTGATAAAGAGAGTCTAGAACGAGTAAGAACCGTGTAGTTCATGTTTTTGTCCTTCTGTCAGTGAAACAGGACAATGCGTATGCACTTAATATCACAGTACACAGAAGTGGAAACAAGCATTATATGTTAAAGAAGTGTTCAGATTTAGAAAGAATTCAAGCAAGAGTTTATGAAATGTGAAATAGTTGTCATGCAAACTCTGACAAACAGTTGGTTCCCCTTCCCTTTAAGACACTTTCAGAAAGGAAGAAGAAGTGGCAGGCTGAGCGTCAGCGTCAGGATGAGGAGGTGGAGGAGCTCCGCAAGAGCAGCCAGCAGGAGCTGGACAACCTCCGAGCTCAACTTCGCAAAGCCAGGACCAGCACTGACAACGCTGCATCTGAACAGGTTTCTATACATCCAATGAAAGGGCTGTTCTGCAAACAATATACTGAAGGAATTAATTTATAATGTGATGGTTTCATCAGTCCACTCTCTGAACTCCCTTAAATATCTTCTGGATCAGTTAATAAGAGATATTTTATGGATTCAGGGTTTATCTGAAGTGGCTACATTACTGTACATATGAGCACTAATGGCATATACCTTGTATGTGTTGCAGTTGTCTCAGCTGCAGGCGGAGCTGGAGGAGGAGTGGAAGGGGAAGTGCGAGCAGATGTTGGCCTGTGCTAAAGAGCAACACAGTAGAGAGCTGGCTGAACTAACAGAGCAAAGAGATGTTCTGCAGGGCAAGCTAACCCAGCTACAGGAAAAGGTAGACAAGCTAGTTTTATTGGAAAGTTTGTCTTATCAGTTGTTGACTTAGAGAAACTTTTACACATTATGGTCACTTTAAAATGACAGTTCACTCCCAAATCAAAAATACCTCCTCTTAACTATAGTGCTATTTATCCATCTACATTGTTTTGGTGTGAGTTGCAGAGTTTTGGAGATATTGACTGTAGAGATGTATGCCTTCTCTCCAGTATAATGCAACCAGATGGCACTCTGCTTGTGGTGCTCAAAGGGGAAAAACAATACATTTGAAAAACTCGATAGCAATGTGTCTTTCTAAAAATCCTGACCTGACCTCAAGATAATCCAAAGACCTTGTTGTGAGCAGTTTCATGTAGTAACTATTACTAAAAAAAGCTAAAACGGCTAACTAATTAGCAGTTATCTAAATCGTTTTGTTGTGCTGTTATTGTTTACAAAATGAAACCACAAGCTGTAGAAAACGCATTAGATATGTTCAGTTCTCAAAGTGTGGTTGTGTGTGTTGCCTTATTTTTGGCCTCTCTCACTCTCAACAGTTCACAGTTATGAAGCAGTCAAGAGATTCAGAAGAACAGAGTTTGCTACAACACCGTGGGCGGATGGAAGAGGAGCAGCAGGCCCTTCAGGAAAAAGTAAGATGGATGACTAGTTGTCAGTCAGCCTGTTCTTCAAATTACATTAAACAATCATCATTGGCAGGGAATGCATTCGTCAGGCATCATGTCACTACAGGAATTTTGTAGGACATCACGTTTACATACACAACTGCTTTTCATTCTGCAGGCAAATTGTTTGCTTCCTTTTATGTTCACACACACACACACAC